TCAGTATTTGGCAGTTCAGTAGGATGTCTGAGACCCTGTAAAAATTTACTGTGTATTTCAACGTTGTAAGACAGGAGACAAGATTTGACATTTGTGGCACAAAGCGTTTTTATCCCACCTTCCGAAATAGACCGGGAACTAAGATCACAGTTGCCCTTCCCAATGATAACAGCTACTTAGCCTCCCAGTTCCCGCATAAAATTACAATATTTAGCCAATGTAGAAAACAGAATATGGTTTACTGGAAATTTAAACTGGTTTCTTGTAATTAATGGTGGATTACTTAGAGGAGAAACCATTGCAGTAGAAAGAAGGAATTTAGGCATATAGTGGGCAAGATGGCAGAGGTAATGTATGGGAAAACTAAATATATCTTCCCCTACATACTGTTGAATTTATATCTTTAAGTTTGGTCGATGCAGAAGTGAGCAGGTGAACAAAAAGTGTCCTATGGTGTCTATGGGTGGGTGAACAATAGGTACTCATCCTGCTGCTTGGGTCCTTCAGAGAAGTGCACGGAATCAGCTCCATGCTAGTTTTATAGCTCTGTGCAAGACTCTGAGGGGTTACGGGTAGCTCTTCCCACCACCAAAGTAGGAGGACCAGAGATAGGATCAAGGAAGCATCTTCAGTTGGATTTAGGCAGCTTATTAAATGCTGATGATTTTCCTCAAAGCTAATCCAGAAAAATGGAAGCAATGGGCCTGACTCACTGAGAAGCAAGCAAATCGATGGTTTTGTAGACTTGACTTGAAAAACCATTCTTTTTTTAAAAATTACATTTTAGGTTTTGGGGTACATGTGAAGAACATGCAAGATTGTTGCATAGGTACACACATGGCAGTGTGATTTGCTGCCTTCCTCCCCATCACCTATATCTGGCATTTCTCCCCATGTTATCTCTCCCCAACTCCCCACCCCCTGCTGTCCCTCCCTTATTTTCCCCCAACAGACCCCAGTGTGTGATGCTCTCCTCCCTGTGTCCATGTGTTCTCATTGTTCAGCACCCACCTATGAGTGAGAACATGCGGTGTTTGATTTTCTGTTCTTGTGTCAGTTTGCTGAGAATGATGGTTTCCAGGTTCATCCATGTCCCTACAAAGGACACGAACTTACTGGAAAAACCATTCATTCTTATAGATGAATATCAAAAAAGAAAGGGATCAAATGGTGTGAGAATCTAGGGAAAAAACAGTAAGTTATGGAATATTTCATGGAGGTAGGAATGAAAAATAGAAAAGGGTAATCTATAAGAAAAGAATTTGGTCTCTTCCAGTGGGAACATATCATCTGGAAGTTTTTTATGTTTGCAATTTTTAAGGACAGAGATGCTCATTATGAATGTGTCTGTGTGTTTGGGCTTGGACAGCCTAAGACTGTAAATAAGGAGACTTAGGAGTAGTACTGTGATTAGAAGTGGGCTTGAAGAGGTTGGGATTGCTAAGGAATTTGTTTTGAAGTTGTATTGCCTGGTAAATATAGCGTTTTTACTAAGATTTTGTGTTTATTGGGGTGGCTTTGCTAGCATCCTCCTGCTCCATTTCAAGCTGTGCCCTTTGGAGTTGCGCTTTTAAACCTTTGAACACTGCCCATATGAGGTATAAAAGTGTTAGCCCAAACTGTGTATATCTGTTGCCATGAGCTACTGACAAATGTAATATTCAATAATACACATGTCTGGAAAGTAGGAAGTTCTATAGAAGTAAGGGAAATGGATTGCTTTTATTATTATAAAAAGCTTTTATTATAAAAAGAGTCATTATGTCCTCTGCCTTATTTTGAAACCATTCACCTTTTATTACTGTAAATTTTGCAATGCCTCATTTTCTCTCCAGCTATCCTCTAGTCCAGTTAACTCAGCAAGCACAAGTTTATGATGAATCATTTAAGCAACTGAAAAATTTTGATGGTTAGCCATGGCAGTCATGTTGTGTAGAAATGTAACTACTTTAAGTAAAAGGAGAAAGTTCAAAATATAACTCCATCTTTACAAGTGCTTTAATTAAAAACAATCTTATTATGAGAAACAAATAATAAAAAAAAACTCCCATTGATGGATGGTAGCTATTTGCAATTTCTTGTTTTGGCTGGATGCATTGAAGGATTTAGAATTTAATATTTAGGGTGTGCCTTAAGCTGCAAGACTCCCTGACTTTATTCTTATCTAGGAATTTTTGCTGCTACAGACAACTGACAACATGCAGATCCATACTCTACCTCTTAAGATTTTCCTTTGGAACGGATTCCAAATGAAACTTTCTTAGGGAAGATGTGGCTAGAAGCTGAATATGCAAAGCACGTCTATAGCAAGGCAAGCCAGAAGGAGTGAGGGTCAAAAAACTAGTTATAACATTTAAGGGAGACACTAGGTTTAAATAAACATAATCTCCAATCTCAGTGATTACTTTTTTTCCTTTTTTGATCATCTGGCTGTGTACTTAGAGAAGCCTCACTTCTCTGAAAATGGGTTACTTTGAGTATTCTCTGCAATAACTTAATGTTGTGCTTCTTTCTTTGCCAACTGCCTGTTGCTAAGCCACCAACACTTACTGTCCTTAAGAAGGCTTAATATACAATAATCAACTTTGTGGAAGGCACATGTATGTACATAAACTTTAACTGGGAAGTTGTCTTTAAATAAAAATGACACAATACACTCCAAAGCTGTGTGTGATTACAGAAGGAGAAGCTGACAAACTACTCACATTTATCAAGGAAAACCTCAGAGAAATATTACGTTTTCACCACCAGGTGGAAATAAAGTCATTTTGAGTATATTTTTTCAAGACCATGAACTACTACTGCAGGAGCACTTCATAAACTGGAAGGGACCTAAAAAATCATTTAGTTTTAACTCTCATCTCCTTAATTTCATAGATGATAAAACTAAGATTCAGAGATATAAAGTAAAATTGCATCTGTCTTTAAAAAGGCAGTTTTCTAAGCCACTGGAAGAAGAGTTGCTAGTAATTCTCGATTCTTCAGTCATTTTCATTCATAAGAAGAATGTGTTATTATCTTCCAGTAAGAGGGAAGACATGACATAACACCTGTATTACCTATGTGTTTCTAAAAATAATGACCAGCATGGTTACTAATGTTTGTAAGGACAGGTTAGGATAAAACTATTGTTTATTGTTTCCTATATTGTAATTAATCACAATCAAGTGATAATTCTCCTCCTTTCCAGCAAGGAAATACTCAATCATCCCCTTAAAGTTACATGAGACTTCAATGAAATTTGTTTTCACAACATTTTTGGTTTTACACCTCATAATGGGTGCAAGGTAAGTAGGCTTTTACTTTTCAGGTGAAGGGAGTACTTACTGCTTTTTCAGAGCTTAAAATCCATTACCATTATTCTTGAGAAGGAAAGAGAATCTGAGTAGTAGAGGTTAAGGGGCATTAGAAATAATCTACTACAATCATACAACTGTATATTCATCAGATGAGGCATCTGAAAACAAGACATTAAATGTGTTTCCTTGAAGAGCAGAGCAATCCCCATGCCTTTCTTTGTTCCACAAGCCACAATAACAGTTATTATTTTGGCCATATATCTTTGTTTTGTCAGTGCCTTTGAACACAAAAGGATTATTTCCACTCACCACCTCGAAGACTGTGTTAAAAAAAAAAAAAAAAACCTTAAGTTTTAGGTAAGGCCTTGAGGTTAAAGGCTGTTTCTTAAGTACCTAAGTATTGAGTACTCCAGTGCTATTCTCTTTTTGATATTTCTGTAACATGTTTGATTATGATAATTTAAAAATTAGTATCAGAGTGCTACATCCTATTATTACTATATTCTATACAGAAATAAATAAAACATGTTGAAATGACACATGAGCTCAAGTTCAAACACACAGGAGCTCCCTCCCTAGGAGCTGCCTTAATTGCCTGAGAGCCAGCATTTTCCATCACTGAGCAAATGATGCACTCAGCTTCCCTCTGAACACGAATGTTTTCTGAGAAGTAGAATTTAATATTTAGGGTGTGCCTTAAGCTACAAGATTCCCTGACTTTATTCTCATCTGGGAATTTTTGCTGCTACAGACAACTGAAAACATGCAGATCCATACTCTACCTCTTAAGATTTTCCTTTGGAACGGATTCCAAATGAAACTTTCTTAGGGAAGATGTGGCTAGAAGCTGAATATGCAAAGCACGTCTATAGCAAGGCAAGCCAGAAGGAGTGAGGGTCAAAAAACTAGTTATAACATTTAAGGGAGACACTAGGTTTAAATAAACCTAATATTCTCCAACCTCAGTGATTAATTTTTTCCTTTTTTGATTATCTGGCCGTGTACTTAGAGAAGACTCAGTTCTCTGAAAATGGGTTGAGTATTCTCTGCAATAATTTAATTGCAGGTGTGGGACATGCAGACCCTTACTGGGAAAACAACTGAGTGTTAAAATGGTACCACAAGGAAGACTGGGGTGATCCTAAACTTAGGGCAGGGACCGGTAACTGCAGTTTCTACTCAGAGCTCCATCACAGCTACCCTGAGCCCAAGGCAGTTAGGTGCGGTCCGATTTCATAAGGTTTTCAGTGAGTCGGACTTGGATGGGTATTCTGGTTCTACCACTGTGCGAACTTTCTTTGCCCTATTTTCTCTCTTTTGAGAAATTGGGGTAACACCCCTAGCAAAAATTTAGTGGAGGTCAATATCTATAAAGTGCTCAGGAAGCACAGCTAGCATTTAGTAGCTACTCAATAAATGCACATTATCTCTATAATGTTTCGGCCAGCCTGTGTGGCAACTTCCTCATCACAGTCCAGATCTCCTCCAACTGGGACCCGGTAACAGCAAGTAATAAATTGTCAGAAGTACACTTTGAAATGTATTATGTTCTACGCACATGTGTAGGGTATTACTATAGTTCAAGAGAAAGAGAAAATCCACTGGCGTCTGAGAAGAAACTGCTAAGGGTGCATTACCAAGGGAATATACACTAATAAAGCATTCTTGAATGGCAACGACAATCACTGAAGTTGACACCTCCTACAGAATTTTAGTTTAGAAACCGCACTTCCCGAGACGTCCCCCATCCCAACAGGAACCTTCTCATAAAATCCTCCAGCTCAGCTCAGGGATATGCCCACTATTGGGCCAAGGAGATCAGCAGATGGGGAAAGCGGGTTCTCTCAGGAGGGTGAGGAATGCGGGTTTGTCCGCTGACGGGGAGTGGAAGGTCAGGGAGGCACCGTAGTTAATCAATCAATAAACCAAACAGCCATCACTCACTTTCTGTAGTCCCAGCCCGACGAGGGCTAATCGATTGGTCTGGGTATTTTGAAAGGAAAAACGGTGGTGGATAGGCTGTCAAACGGAGGGGTGCAGGAGGCGGGGCTGGGCCTCCAGGTGCCCCCTCTGGCTTCCTGGGCCTGCAGAGGGGCCGAAACGGGCAGGCGCCGGCATCCAAGAGGCGCGGGGCGCGCCGGGCGAGTCCCTGCTTGCAGGAGGCGCCCGCGAGGCCTTGACGTCTCCTGGTGAGAGTAGCAGGTTCTCACCTCCCGACCCGGGGAAGGCCCCCGGGGCCCGCGGCGGGCGGGGCGGGGGCCGGGCGAGGTGCGCCTCCTATTGGCCGCGTGGCGCCGCCCCGTGCCGGCCGCCCTTATAAAGCAGCTGCCGGCGCCGGGAGCCGCATTGCAAGCTACCCGCGCCGACCCCGCTCTGCTAGCGTCGCACGCCAGCCCGCGCCCACCATGGCCACAGTTCAGCAGCTGGAAGGAAGATGGCGCCTGGTGGACAGCAAAGGCTTTGATGAATACATGAAGGAACTAGGTGAGGCGCCTGGCCTGGCAGCACCTGCAACGTGGCGTGTGTGTGGCCGTCTGTCCCTAGGTCCCCGTCAGCGTGTCAGGATTCCGGGACAGGAGATGCTCGGCGGCCTACCCCCAACCCCTCCCATCTTCCCCACCACGCGGCCGTTGGGTGCAGCGCGCGCAGCACCACGCGGGCAGGCGGCGAGGAGCCGGGAGCGTGCGTGCCTCCTGCCCGCCCGCGGGCCGCAAGATTCCGGAGACGGTACACCTCGTGGCCCACCCACCTCTCTTCTGCTTCTTTCCCCTCGCCCAAACCGCAGCCATTCCGCATTGCCTCCTGTCCTTTAGCGCGCGCACCCGTCACCCCACGCTGCACTTTTTTCGACCCCCTCCAGGCGACCCTCTGTTTCCCCTTTTTCCCCCTTTCACTCATCCTTCCCCTTCCTGCCACCATCCTGTCTCTCTCGTTTACCCCATCGTGGCAGCACCTACTCCCCTTTCCCACCCTGTCGTATCTTTTCTCTGGTGGCGTGCAGGTCCCCCTCCCTTTTCTTCATGGGGACGCGATGCTGGAGCGCGGTTTCCCACAGAAATCCCTTAGTGAGTCTGAGCAGCTCTACAGCTTCAGCTTGTATTCCTCTGTCCGCCCCATATCCCCCAGGTCCTCTGCTCGCTCTCACCAGTTGAGCCGAACCCTTTGGGTTGACACCCCATGGAACACCGGGGCCCCCGAGAGGCGTGGCGCTGGCGGTGCCGACCTGCTGCTGGCACTGCCGGGCCAGGGCGTCGCAGTGGGCGGGTGGCCTGTGGGAGGAGCGGAATGAGGCCGACTGTGCTTGGGGGTGGCCTTGTGTTGCCATCCTGGCCTCTGCCTCTTGAGGGTGAGGGACAAGGAGGCAGTGGGGCTTTGCTGGAAAACCATAGCAGTAACTGCCTAGCCTTCCTGCAGCTAACTGCCTGGAAGATGGGTGTGGCCCTTGCAGAAGGCAGATGACTTCTTGAAGCGTTCCCTGGGAGAAGGAATCTCAATAGGGAGATTCATTTCTCTCACTCAAAACAGTGCTTCATTATCAATTACTGCCCTTTTCTATACCACTGACAGAGATTGCATGCTGGTTGAGACATTGGATAGATTGCAAACAAAAATGGACCTTTGTCACAGGCCACTAGGAAGTGAGATGGAGTTAGCATAGCATTGATCCTCTCTGGAAGGGAGCTTCCAGCGCTAAGGGACGGCTGGGACTTCCGACGGTGCTTCAGAAGCCGGTATCTACAAATGTTAACCTGGTTGCTCGCTGGTGAAATAACTACTGTGACCCTCTGTTGATACCCAGTCGCTGTGGCACTTCAGAATCACTCCTTCAGTACCCTTTATCCAAGACAATGTGGTGTTAAGGCTGGTTTATGGTGAATATGAGTGTATTTATGATACTATCAGTTAAGTAAGAAGGCAGTATTTTTCTTTTTCCTTACAAACCTACGTCAAGATGACTCTGGAAAAAGCGATTTACTGCACCTGTCCAATAAATACAGTGTATATGTGTGTGCACAAGTTTAAGGCCAGAGAACACTTTTCTCTGCCTGCAGAAAGCAAGTTATGTTTAGGTTTGGAGGGCTTGTTTCCAGGATTCTGGAGTCTTGAAGGTTGTCAAGACTCAGTTCATTAGGGAGCAGTCACCATGTGAAAAGAGCAGAGCCATTTATTTGTCTAGAGTGAAAGTACATAATGACTCAATTAATAGCATAAGGCACCAGCCCTGAGCTGGCAAAAGAGAAGGTTACAAGGAGAATTTTAAAGCCTGGCTGAGTGTTCTTCATCAAGACAATCACACTGCATAGGTTGTAATCTTCTTATTTATGAAACAGTGATTTGGCCTGGATCTAAGATTCCTTATACATGTTAACTCTCAGGGGAAATAGATAGATCATAAATTGATATATAATTTAATATGATATTTTATAAATGTCTAAATCAATTTATTGACTTATACAGCTATGAAATATTTTTTATATCAAGGATAAGATTTTGTTTTCCATTTGTTAGCATCATGATTGTGCTGCTGACTTTAGAAAGACTGTGCTATTGAATATCTCAGAATCAATTTCTATGTTGTGTAGTCTATTAATCAAATATTTATTGAGAGCATTGATATGCCAGACAGACTATGTGCTGGAGTCATAGAATGTAATGGTTGGCAGAATCCAGTAAAAAGAAAAAGACTGAGCAAACTCCTGAATTTGCAGTTTTGAATGCTTTATCTCCACCTTCTATCAACTGCTTTGAGTAAATAAAATTTGCAAGTCTGCATTTCTTTGCTAACTTTCTGAAAACCGGCATAGCATGGTGGCCAAGAGGTCAGATTTGGAGCCAGGGTGCCAGTGTTCTTAGTTTCCAGCTCTGTCACTTTCTAGTTGAGCAGTCTCAGGTAAGTTACTTCAGTGTCTCGCTCTCTTATCAATAAAATGGGGACAATAACATCTGCCTCTTAGAGGACTGTTAAAAGGCTTACCTGAATTTAGTCTATGTAAAGTGCTGGCTCATAGCATGGGATATGTGTTTACAATAGTTATCAATAAGCAAATAAGTGAAAATATGCTGTACAAATTGATTACAATGGAATTACTGCTTTTATCATGTAAATGATGTCTTCCCATTATTTAACATGACTTAACATTCTACAGGAGTGGGAATAGCTTTGAGAAAAATGGGCGCAATGGCCAAGCCAGACTGTATCATTACTTGTGATGGCAAAAACCTCACCATAAAAACTGAGAGCACTTTGAAAACAACACAGTTTTCTTGTACCCTGGGAGAGAAATTTGAAGAAACCACAGCTGATGGCAGAAAAACTCAGGTCAGTTATGACATGTTATAAAATCACAGAAGCTTCTAGAATGATAGGCTATATTAACATTTTTACTGTTTACAGGCAAGAACTTAATGAAAAAATTATTTTATGAATTGAGTCTTGTCAAATTAGTAAAAGTATCAACTTCATAGAATTAGCATTTTTTATTAGCTACTAGATTGAAAACCACAGACTATTGTGAGTAAAATCAATACAGGTTAATGACGTAGGCACAGAAAGGAGAAGGTGAAAAAAAATGTTGATTAAAGAGGCTATGAGTCACGGAAACTTGTAATGTACTTGGAAAATTAAAAAGTTTACTTCATTTTTGCAGACTGTCTGCAACTTTACAGATGGTGCATTGGTTCAGCATCAGGAGTGGGATGGGAAGGAAAGCACAATAACAAGAAAATTGAAAGATGGGAAATTAGTGGTGGTAAGTGTCACACAGCTGGGTCTTAGTTGGCTTCTTGTGTGCATTCATAGTTCACATAACTGTTCTGTGTCATTGATCATTAACAGAACTAAGTTTGGGAAGAAAATAAGGCAAAATAACAAGTTAAATACTAGAACACTGATTATTAAGAAAGCCCTAGTGGGAACAGAGAAGTGACATGACATAGAGGATTTGGCTGGAGCGGGGGCGGTGGGAGTTCTTGCTTTGCTGCCACACCACAGTGAAATCCTGGCAAGCCACCAAACTGCTCTCTTCGGCACACATTTTTCTATGTCTTTAAAATAAGGACTATATGCCATCACCAAAAGAATAAAGATATCTTCAACATGTTAGTTTTCAGTAAACATGCATATTATAAGCAAAACAACAGCTTCTAGTTTCTCTCAAACCCATGAATCCTGAATCTCCATCTATGAAGTAGATTACATGATTTCATAGGACTCTGATTCTAATGTTTTAATACCACCACTGCTCTAGAATGTAAGACTAACCTAACTTTTTAATATCTTTCCTTCTCCTAGGACTGTGTCATAAACAATGTCACCTGTACTCGGATCTATGAAAAAGTAGAATAAAAATTCTATCATCAGGTTGGACAGGAGTTGACTATGAGAATGAACAAGCTCAGTTCAATGAGCAAATCTTCATACTATTGTTTCTTTTTTTTTCTCATTACTGTGTTCAGTTATCTTTATCAAAAACATTTTACATGGAGCTATTTCAAAGTGTGTTGGATTAATTAGGATCATCCCATTGGTTAACAAATAAATGTGTTTATGCTAATACATGTTGTATGCATTCTTTAAACCTTACAGGAAATTAGTGATGAGTTTTAATAATTATTGAGTAAATGCTGGGGTAGTCTTGAGGATGCTATATTGAGATGACACTAGCAATTTATATACATAGCGACTCTTACAGGAAATACCATATCAATCATTTAAGCTTGCTCTATACTGTTTGAACTTTGTATGAACTCAAGAATCTTGAATTTCTGGCAGAGACCATTCTCATTAAAAGGTAGCTACTATATACACTTTATGATTCAAATTAGAGCAAAGATTTAATTAACCGCCATTGACTAAAATACTTTTCGTGTTTTTATATATAAATATAGATAATATACTATGTATGGAATAACTAGAATTCTAGTGAATCTCTATTCTATTTCTCTATCTTCAACACAAATATCCATAGTTCACATTTGAAGAAGGAGGCTGTTGGCCCTGCTATAAAGCTTTGCCTAAATGACTTTAGGGCAACTGTCAAAGGGCTGGTATGATTATGTCCATTCTGCAAATAAGAAAACAGGTTTTTGACTAGCTAACTAGATCAAGGACAGGAGGTAGTTAAGAGCTGGATTGATGACCTATATCTCATCAAGTCTACTCAATGTGTTCAGTCATTCTACAACACTGCCTCTTTGCAGCTTATGCAGAAATCTTGTCTAAAGTCCTTAAATGTATTAATTGAGACTCCTGAAACCACCCTCTATGTGCAGAAATGTTAACTGGTAAGCATTTTTTCTTAAGAATTACTGATTAAGCAGTCAGTGGAAGTGTTCCACTCACTGATACTCTAGTCCTGTGCTGTCCAATATGTAGCCATGAGTCACATATGGCTATTGAACCTTTGAAGTGTGGCTAGTCTGAATTGATATGTCTATATGGGATTTCAAAGGCTTAATACAAAAAGTAAAATGCCTTATTAATGACTTTTTGGTATTGATTGCATATCAAAGTAAATACAGATTAGTAAAGTTAATTTTCCCCTTTTACTTTGTTAATACAGCTAGGGAAAATGTAAAAATTGCATGTACTTTCATTTTTGTGTCATATTTTTTAACGGACAATGTTGTTTGGGACTTCCTTTCTATGTGAATTTCAATCTTGCTTATTTTGGTATTTAGGGTTCTTATTTCATCCACATTTTCTGCTGCTCATGATTATGTACATTTATTGACATTCTCCTGGAACTAAACACTGGGTCACACACTTTAAAGTGTTTTGTTAATTCTCAGAGCCATCCCAGATGATGTATATTCACTATGGTTTTTCCACATTGTGTAGATCAAGAAACTAAGGCCCAGAGTCTAGGTAATGATCCTAAGCCATACAACTACTACAAGTCAGAGCAGATTGGGGCACAAGTTCAGCTGATTGTACAATCTGTACTATGTTAGCTGCCATGTTCTCACACCTATACTGCTTCAGATTATGGGCTGGAATATCACCTGAGGGACATTAAGCTCATGTTCCTTACATGGGGGAGCTATTGACATTTGGATTGGGCTATGGCAAGCATCATAGGACCTTTAGCATTCCATCCTAAGATCATGGCCACAAAATGTCCATGGCACCCACCAGTCTACCCTAAACACTTAGTTCATTTCCAGGTGTCATTTAAGGGCACGGATCCATACCTAATTAAGAACCACTGGGTAGAACAAGGGTATCTCAACCTCATGGTATCTGTTGTCATTAAAGCTCTTCCTTCTGCTAAGCAATTCTTTAGGGATTGACCCGTCATCAAAAGACCTAAAAGCAGTGCCATTGAAGATGAATTTCTATTGCCTCTTAACTAATGGTATGCTGGAATGCATTATTTTTAGTTTGCAACACACTGGATCTCGGGGAGGTTCACTTTTATTACAGATCTATCAGATCCTATTTCTTATGCTTCAATGTTTTGTTGCCAGTAACCTACTAGACAATACCCTATGAATGCATGTCTCATTTCAAACTAGTTTAGTCTTTCTAAAATGTAGTGTGACAATTTAAGTACTTGGGGTGTGCAGGCAGACAGTCCTGGAATCCAATTCTGACTCTAATAATTGTATGACTTAGGGTAAGTTCTTTGTAAAAAGATACATTACCTGAATCACAGAGTTGTTTTAAATATTAAATTTGGTAATGCATGTGAAGCAATTAACACAGGACCCATAATATAGGAAGGGCTTAATGTCCCACAAGCACTGCCCAATATAACTTTATGTGTCATGGAAATGTTCTTTAATATCTGCACTCTCCACTAAGGGAGCCACCAGCCATAAGTGAGTATTGAGCACTTGAAAACGTGGTGAGTGCAACTGAGGAACTGAATTTTAATTTAATTTTTATTAACTAAAATGTAAATTTAAGTACCCACATGTAGTTAGTGACTATTAATTTGGACAGCATGGGATGTTTCCAAAATTGAAATTCTTACATTTAAAAATTTCAAACCTGTTCCTCTTGTGGTATTGTCCCTCTCAATTCATGGGAATGTCACTTTTCCAATGTTCAGGCTAAATGTCTAATCTTTGATTCTTTCTTTCCCATCTTATATCTAATCCATTAGCAAATTATTTGTTTTACCATCAGAATATACCTAGAATTGAATTGTCTCTCCCTCTTTCATAGATACCACCTCATTCAGATATCACTATCATCTCTCCCCTTCTCCGCCATTTTGCACCTTTATCCTCCCAAAGCTGTCATTTAAAACACAGGTTAGAACATGTCATTCCTCTGTTGAGAACCCTCCACTGGCCTCTCATTTCACTAGGAGTAGAAGCTAAAATCTTGTCAGAGTTTCTATCTGATTTGCCTGTGCCTTCCACCTTCCCAGCGCCCCATCCTCATTTCATCTCCTGCAGCTGTCCACTCAAACATTTCCTCCTATCTCCACCAATGTTGATGCAAATGTGCTCTTGCCTCAGGGCCTTTGCACCTGTTTCCTCAGCCTGAACCACTCTTCCCCACACAGGCTTCAGCCCACTCTTTCTCCCTTCCTTAGAGTCTCTTCCTTCAAGGTCACCCTAGCAGTGAATCATTCCCAGACCACAGGATGTATCAGAGCTGCCACTCCTCCCCCACATTCCCAATTCCCCTAAGCTGCTTTATTTTTCCTCATAGTCCTCATCTATAACATCAATTCTGACTATCCATTTACTTGTTTTATTTCTTAATATTTTGGTTATTATCTGTCTCCCCAATAGGAAGTAAGTCTTATGAAGAAGGGACTTTGTTTCTAACAGTGCACTCTGTCTCTCTAGCACACAGTTAGGGGAGAACCTGACATACAAAAGATGCTCCATATATATTTGTTAAATGAACAAATTTTTAATAAATTAATGGATTCTTGACATATATTTTACACATTTTTATATTATTTAAGACCCTTTATGATATTGCTTCAATCAACTTTATTTATTAAAACCATATTCTTACCTTTATACAAGCCATTCAACTTTAATCAGGTCTCTTACCCCAGAAGTGGTATGCTTGATGACTGTGGGATAAGGGTGTTTGAAATAGGAAGTAAGGAATCCAGCCTTGCTTCCAAACTGGTATGTAATAACACTCTGGCCTACCAAAAAATAGGCAAAAAAAAAAAAGCACACTACTACTGGGGTAGGTTTTGATCAATGTATACAATTTCTTTGACTGCAGCCAGACACTCTGCTAACAGGCAGTATCTGTCAAGCAGAACTGGACCTGAGGTGTTTGTGGAACATGGTGCAGATTAATCTGATTTGCTATAAGAAAGATGGTTTAACACAAATCAACCCCTCACCAAAGAAAAAGACACAGGAGAAAGATGACAGTTTTTGGATTAAGTCCTTGAGCACCATGAGGGCATCAACTGTTCTCTACAAGTGAAGTCCATGTGCCTGAGAATGAATGGTTGTAGTGAATTGCTACTATGGTAGTAGTGATTATGATGCACCTATTGCTAGCATAGTCAATGATTTCTTGAGTCTCAATCTCTTCAACTGTTTTCTCAAAATTCTGGTATTTGAAATTGTGCTATGACCGTGAAAAGGTGGAGAACCACCTTTTTGGCACCTAGATTTCAATGCTGCCAAGTCAACTTAGACTATTACTCAATTCTTGCTGCTTATAAACCAATGATTCTGAATGCCTGTTCCATTTTAAATTCACTTTTGAGTTCATGAGAATAATTATAGTGCTTCCCTGGGTTTCATGAACTCATTATTCTCCTTTTCTAATACTACCCTCTTAGAATCCACTGCTGTTTGGTGGGTCATGTGTGATGTGGGTTGATAGAAAGGGCTGATGAAGCTGGTGAACCGGTTTGGAAAGCTGGGTGACACATATTTTGAAATGTTGTGAAAGGCAAAGTGGTATGACTTGCAGCTGGTCAAACAGCAACTGAAAAATAACTGGAGTCTTATGATATCTGGTCTGCCAGTCTCTGTCACCAGATCATATGTAAACATCTGCTAGGATCCAGTCTCTTTCTTCCTCCCAATGCCTTCTCCCATCATACCTGCTTCTCACATACTGCACACTTGGAAAATGTCTGAAAAGAGAGTAATTCTTAAGGGGCATTTTTTTAAAGGTGCTGGCAACACATGCCATGGTGAACAAGACAGAGTAGGGCAAAGATTCTTTCTGATGGAACAGACTTTCTAGTGTGAGATGATGTGTCTTAGTCTGTCCTGCACTGCTGTGACAGAATACCTAAGACTGGGTAATTTATAAAGAACAGAAATTTATCTCTTACAGTTCTCAAAGCTGGGAAGTGGAAAATTGAGGGACCTGGATCTGGTGAGGGCCTTCCTGAAGCATCATCCCAAAGTGGAGGGTGGAAGGACAAGAGAGAGCAAGAGGGGGCTGAAGTCACTTTTACAACAAGCCTACTCTTGCGATAACCACCCAGTCCAGAGATTATGACATTAATCTATTCAAGAAGGCAGAGCCACTGTGACCTGATTACCTCTTATTAGACTCCACCTCCCATCGGTGTTGCATTAGGATTTACATTTCCAACACATG